CCATTGATACCCTTACAATGACAAACTTTGTATAAGATTTGTTGCAATTGTCTAAAAGTGGCAATATTAATTATATAAATGATCATATTTCAGTCATACAGAGTCACAGTGCTGCATGCTCAATTTGCTTTATCTTCAGTAACTTGCAGGACCAGCTCCTTAATTTTCTTCTGGTTCAATCAGCAATTCCTTGGTGTCCACACTCAAGCTCATTTCAATTCACTGTCTCTCTAATCCTTCTTGTTGTTGAGTGTTATGGAGCCTGTGTCTACCCATCCATTCACGGATAGAGGAAATTCACCTGCATGCAAAAGGCCAGCACAAGGCCCACAAAGACACATTCAAGTCCAATGCTGAGTATTTGAATTGAACTGGAGCAATGCACGATCCAGATGCTCACAGAGGAGGTTTCACCAATTGTGAATAGTTATTCATATAGAGTTTGCAGTTCATTTTGGAGGAAGATCATGGAGTTAAACACATGTGTAAGGGATTGGGGGGATGATCTGAGTTTAGGCCAGCATGCCAATCCTCAGACATCATTTTAAGGATACTGCAGTGACAGGTACCATCACAACCCCTAAAGGTAGAATTTATTTCACTATACAACAGTCATGTTTGGATCCACATTTTAGACCTGATCATAACTGATTCAACAGTAGTTCCATCAACAATGCATTTAACTAAATGCCAAAGGAATGATTTATGAAGTGTGTCCATGAACTGCTTTGATAAATGGCGAATGAAGGCTAACTCACAAGAATTGCACAAGGAAGTTTAAAAAAAATAGAAAGAAGACAATGACTCCATCGCTACTGTTTCTCATATTTTCCCTTCCTTATCTTTTTGTCATTCAGATGACTATTCACTAAAGCCAATTTTCTCTCTCCAGCACCCAGCCTATGTTACTACACTAGGATACTTCATTACAAAGAGTGGGGAGGAATTTTCCCCCAGGAACTATATGTGATCAATGGAGCCCCTCAATGGCAACTTGTAGAGGGCACAGCATAACATAAGTCATATCAGGTCTGACATACTCATTGCCCCTACTCACTATTGTCATATTCTGTATCTAAAAGGTATCATGTAAGGTATCCTATATAAACTGCTGTGACAGGTGCTGGGCATGAAGTGCTTAATCAGCCCTCTGCCAAGCCAGCCCCAGTGAAGAGGAATGGATTGGGGCTGGCTGAATAGCCCTGCCTGCTGGGCAATTAGGAACAGTTGCCAGCCTAATTAGCCAGGGGCTATAAAGGCTGGGAGGAAGGAAGCCAGAGTGGTGAAGAGAAAGGCCAGAGGTTGAGAGGGATTGGTGGGGCTGCTGGTCTGTTGATGGTGAAGTCTGGCTGTAAAACCCTGTATAGATAGTGAGCTGGTGGTGGGAAAAAACTATAAATAAAATACATGGGTGACTGCATTGACCTGAGGTGTCTCTGATTGGTTTTGTGAGGGCAAGAGGGGCCCAGCTATGCCCTGTTACAACTGGCAACACACTACTCTTTAATTTTGTATGCTGTATGTACGGGCAATATATGAAGAAATATAAATTTGTGCTGGAAATATATTCTTAAAATGTGTTGGTCAGGCAAGGGTAAGTCATCCTGATCTAGACAAAAGAAATGTGGTTCTACCTATTTGAATACACCTCCAATGTGAAGTGAACAAAGCAAGATAATGAAATTACATTTACATGAAGGGTAAGGTTTCATTTACATGAAGCTATAAGGCAAACCAATGTGGAAGATGGTTACTTAACACTTCTCACCAGAGGTGGAAGCTGCAGTGCTAGAAAACCTTTCTGCCTCCTGAAACAAGGTCTTTGGAAAATATAAGCAAGTACAGAAATCCATGTTGGTAGACCTCACTGGGCAGATATAAGAGGCTACAGGTCTTGTACTTCAGAGAAAAGTGAAACCTTTCAACCCAGGAGATTGAAGGTCTCAGGAAATTGAATCTAGATGAGAAACCTTCTTAAACTAAGACTAACTTGCTTAAGTTAAATGTAGTCACTAGGAAGCCTGTTTTGTCTGTAACTTCATGTCTCTTTCACTCTTACTAGAAATCATTTAATCTTATATTCTTTGTTAATAAACTGTTTTAGTTTTACTATGAACCATCTCAGTGATATATATTAAAAATAAGTGTGAATCCTCAGTTAAATTAAGAGGTTGGTCCTATGTGCTGTATCTTTAAAAGGAGCAGTGAACTTAATATGGATCTGTGAGTATTGCAGTCAGAAGGGCTGGACACTACAGGGCAGATGGTTTGAGGGAAAATGCAGAACAGGGAGGGGGGTGGTGTGTCTCTGCAAGGAATAACTAGGCTGGTGAATGCCAGGGTGAGGCTATTGTGCTGTAAGCAGGCTGATGATATCAGGGCTCTGAACAAAACTGCACAGCACAGAGGGACCAGGGTACCAAGACAGACAATGACAGAACCTCTGGGTTGAATCCCAAAGTGTTATACTGTGGAATCATAGTGGAGGTCTTGTGAGAGTTCTTATACTAATATGGCTGTGTGTCTGTCAAGGCTGAATTCCCACTCTGTCACGCTGAGTGCAGAAGGTGGGGGCCCACAAGGATTCTAAAAGTTAATACTGGCCACTCCAGGCTTGTATTCAACTCCCAAGGTTACAGCTTCTCTCTGACCTTGTCTTGGTAATGCTGCTACCAGCCAAATGCAAAAAAAAAAAAAAAAAAAAAAAAAAATCCCTTGGACTCAGGAAGGAGCACTTGGGAATTCCTCCCTGTGGGATACCCTCAGGCCCTTTCACCCCCCCTCTGGGGAAGAGCTGAGGAAGAAAACAAAGGAAATTAGCTGTTGCCATCAACAGCATATGCACAAATCTCTTAGGACACCAAAAATCCAATCCTGTTTTTAAAAAATGTAAATTTTATTAAAAACAGAAAGAAAATACATCTGGACCTTAGGCTTTTGCTAGATTTAAAAGAGCAATTCCAAAAATCAAAATAGCTTTCTGGGGGGTTCAACTTAAAGGTTACAAGCAAACAAAAGCCTCTTGGGTTAGCATAGAGGAGATCCACAAGCCAAAATAAGAAATAAACCTGAGAGCGTCTAACTAAACATTCCCTATCCAAATTATTTCTTCTAGGTATGGAAGATTACTTTTTCATACCTGGTTCAAACCTTACTCAGCATTTCTGCTGATAGCATTGTTCTCCATGTCCCTGCAGCCCAGAGAAGAACAGACAAAGGGAAAGTTTTTTTTCCCCCAAATGTAAAAGTTCTAGCATTCCCATTGGCTCTTTTGATCAGGTGCCCACTCCTTTTCTTTTACCTGTGGGCTTGTTAACCCTTTACAGGTAAAGCAAGTGGAGAACAAGACACCAAGAGGGATTTTACAGCGAACTGATTGACTGGGTATTCAGAAATAGGGGTTATCCCCCCCCCCATTCGTTTATCACAGTGTCTGTCTCTACTGGAAGGATAAGGGGATCCACATAGTGACCAATCTTCCTGGCCTCACTCTTTCAGCACCTTCCCCACCTTCCAGATGATTTGTCCCTGAATGACTGTTTTATTAAAAGAAGTACTATGTAGTATTTGCATGTATGACTGATGATATCAGTATTTTTCTTCCATCTTGACTGTTCTTCACGAAAATGCAACATATTACTGGAGGAAAATATCTTGTGTTTAATAGTAGTCAGATTTTCAAAGCTCTCAGCATTGGCCTAACTATGCTTCTTCTGAACTCAATGGAGGTTTTGACATTTATTTCAATAGGAGCAAAATTTGCTCAAAGCTGAGCACACTTTTGAAAATCCTGCGGTTTGTATTCCTGGTCCATTGATTTTCTTACTAGAGAAGGGACAGAAGACTGTATCTGAACCTTCTTGAACTGTAGGAAAATTTGGATCCAGCTCCAGTTCTGGCCTTTGTGAGTTAGTCTCATCACAAGTAACAATAACTAATACATCAGGCTGGATCTGAATCAGTTACATGTCTAATAAATCAAACCAGCCACACTAATCCAGGCATATACATAATGGGGGAAAACGTTGTCTCCTATGAGAAAGTTAATTCAGTATGCTTGGCTTCTTTAGCTTGTCAAACCCCATTTGAAGTAGGGTCATGAGCAGTTTAATTGAGAAGTGAGAAGGTCAGTTCTTTCTCTGTGTTTCCTGCTGTTACCCAGACAATTAGTACTATCACTTCAGATGATATTTTCTCACATATTTATATTACTGGAACTAGTTTCTTGGAGGCCTGCCTTGCTATGAAAATCATTTTCCCAGCCTGTCTCTTGTGCTTCTGATATGGTGGGTGAGGGTCAGAGGGTGGAACAAAATTTCCTTTTAAATTATCAAAAAACATTATTCCAATATTTCATTATTTGACTTTTTTAAATAAAAAAAGAGGGAAAAAATGAACAATTTCTTCTGAGGAATCAATGAGCCATCAGGCCTTCATGCACAGGTAACAGGCTGATAATCCCAGAGCAGATTACGTCATTCATGTAATGAAAACAGGAAATGTTCATGAGAAACCTCTGTAGACCAGGAGCGCACCCATGTCAGCCACAAAGATCACTTGCAATTGTTTTGAAGGGTAATTGTGACTTTCCAAGTGCCCAATTTGAGATGCTTGAAAACACTCATGATTTTATAAATGACATCTAGGTAAAATGTTACATGCTTAACCTTTCCTTACTATTCCATGCAGCAGCCAATACAAAACACACTGTCAAAATGTCAAAGCAGCAAACTAAATACTAAAATGCAGTTAATGGCTGAATAAGTTCAAGCTCGCTGCCGCTGCTGATCTCACTTGGCATTTGGCAAGGCAAATCTCACTTTTTGCACTGCCATTTTATTATGAAATTTAGAACAACAGATGCAAGATTAATGCAATGCCCATGTTATTGCTAGCCAAATGTTTAGTTTTAAGCACAAGGATGTCATATACACAGTATTTTCTAATGTTTATCTTTATCTCAGTTTACTGATCACTTTGGGTTTTATCCCTGTGTTCAGCTCCTTGCAGGATCAAACCTGATAGAGTGGCCCAGGGGATTAGCACCACTACTCTGCCAAAAATTGCCATGGGGCCTCTGCTAATCAAAAGCAAAGTCTCAGTTTCACGTGGCATTTGAAAGAGGACATCTCCAGAAGCACAGTAGCCCCCTAACATGACAGCGCTGCACTGGGTAAGTACATACTCAGATGGAAGAGCGTGTACCCTTTTGAATCACAAACATCGTTTCTTGTATCACCCATTGGGTATGCATTCTGTAAGAGACCCAGGACTCAGCAACCTTCATCACTCACTGTGTCCTGTCAGAGATGTAAATGTAACTCTTGGGAATGATAGAAACAGTCTCCCCACCCATCATGGCTTTTAACTCTCCTCTTGAAGTCCGCATTTAGGCAGCTGGAAGACTCATACTGTCTCATTCATGCATTTCCCCTTCCCATCCACAGTCTCATTCAGGCATTCTTCCCCCATCCCACCCATAGATTTTTTTTTTTTTATGTTGCTTCCCCTCTGGTTAAAATCAGAGAGCTCTGTTCTTGAAAAATGGGTACACATCATTTACACTCTACAGGAAGGTACCAAAAGACTATCTGATAAGAATCTATGTAAATTTTCAGTGTAATAAAGCTAACATCCTGGCTGCTGCTCCCAAAACCCAGAGAGGAAAGAGACCAGCAGAGAAATGTTGCTATTGAATGTCACTGTTTCTATAGTCAATATATTGAAGTAACATAAGTTAACTTTATACCTATCATAGGAGCTTGTGAAATTTCCCATTGGAAATGATTAGTTCGTATTCCAATAGGGAGAATAAATGAATGAATGAAATGAAAATCAACAGTAAATGAATGAATGAAAATCAACAGTAAGGCCCAATAGGAGATCTCAGGAAAGAATTAAATTGATTTCACCTAACATGTTGTTTTCCCTCTAATACCCATAATTCTACCATATTTTTTGAAATACAAACATGTACACATCAAATATGTATAAACATGAGCATGGATTGATCCTTGGGTTCAGTTTGCCTGATTAATTGCTGGTGTTTTATTTTGGTGGCACCTTCAAGGCTGGGCATTTCGGTCATGCCCCATTTCAACTGTCTAGTATGTGGATGAATTAATTCAGCCTTCATTATTCTTAAATTCCTGCTCTTAACAGGCAGTAATTAATCATTCTAAACTATTGAAGTAAAAATAGGTTAAGTGTAAAATAACTTATTAATTTACTACCAAGCCTGTATCCACTTTTCATGAAGTTTAACTTAATTTGTTGTGGGAGGAAATTTCCCCTACAAACTAGTGTGATGCATTCCTTTCATAACATGTTAGAGTTTTGGTGGATTATAAAAACTCTTTAATGTATACACGACCAAATCCTGCAGCTTTTATGGAGCACCCCTTCCTATGAGGTGTGGAGAACCTTTCCTTCCTGCCTGGAGGCACTCAGCACCTCACAGGATGTGGCCCCATCATCCTCACTGCAGTAAATGCCACCTTTGAGTAATTGGAGTTTTATCTGAGTAAAAACTTCAGGATTTGGCCCACTAGCTTTCATCTGAGAGTCTGGATCATGTTGTTTAAACTAGATGGCTTAAATTGCAAAATTTCAATCAAACCCTAAAATTCAGGAGACTCTGGTTCTGGACTGAATCCATTATAAAGGCAGGACCAGATGTGGGTTTGACTTACAAATGTCCCAAACTTTCAGTGTGTTTAGATCTGGGGTTTTGGCTTGTGGTCTCTTAAGTTAATCCCATTTCATTGCAGGATTTATGTAACTGAATGAGAGAGAAAGCTTGGGCATCACTCCAGCTGTGTGAATAGTGCAAAAGGTTTCCTCTGGAATGTTTCAGTGATTTCCCTTGACCAGTATTCATGGAAAGTGAACTGAACAAGGGTGTGAACATTTGGATAGTCAAGTCTTTAGTGATAAGAAATGATCCCATACTGAGGATCTCTGTCTCCTCAGGGATCAACCAAGCTGTGAACTGGGGAATTGTGCCAGCAAGCCTACTTGCACTTGACCTGTCTCCTTCTCATCTCCCCTACCCCTTTCTCTTGTTTGTACTTCCATCCAGGAGAGGTAGCCCTTGGTGACCCTGTTGTCCTTCCAGTGACCCTGTGATGCTGACACTGAGGGAGTAGGAGCTGTAGACTCACATGAGCACTTCATATAATAGCAGGATTAAAAGTGGTTGCCATTCTAGGGTTCAAAGGGGAGCAGAAATCATTTCCTCCTTTCCTGGCACCCTGAAATGTTGCCCAAAGAGCTGACTCTGGTGTTTCCTGAGTTATTTCTGTGCTGGTGCAACCCATATTTTATTCTGGGTTTTGAGTGATAGTTGCTTTCAGACTCTTGAGGTAATTCTGACTGTTCCTTGCCTGCTCAGGCTAAAACTGATTGTTATATCTGGAGTTGAGAAGGATTTTTTCCCCAAGAGCACACTGGCCAAACCTGCATTTGTCTCATTGTCCCTGACCTTTCCCTGGAAAAGCGTGGTGTGAGTGGAAGGTTGAGGCATAGGTGCCAAATAGTGGGAGCCCACAAGTCTTACTCAGGGCAGCCCCAGCAAATAGCATGCTGGTGGCTTTCAATTAGAGGGTAAGTTCTCTTCCATGTTGCACTGGAGCTACAAAGCTTAGGGCATTTGATATTGATGGTAGGTGGGAGAGCCTTACTTTAGCAGTTGGCTGTTATGGCCTCATTTCCTATAATTTATGCATAGGATTAGGAACAGAGCAGCTGAGGGATGTCCAGACAGATGCGGGGGGAGGTGTGTGAGAGTGACTAAATATAATACACAGGTAGAGGGTTCCCCGTGACACAACATGTACCGAACAGTTATTGCTACGATTTGGAAGTTCGAGCATGGGAGTTACATTTCGCTAGTGTCGTGAGTACAAGGGAGGGTGCTCTTGCTCATTTCATTACTTACTATTACAGGCAAAATTGTTTGCCAGGCAACATTTTAGTTTGAATTATAGTACGTCAGTAAAAGCTGCAGCACTGGCCTTTAATCCAATGTCCAGTGTGTTCTGTTTTCAAAATCAAGGAACTCCAGGGTTCAAGAAAACCCTGCCCAGCCGCACCTCTTTCCACCCCCCAGCTACAACACCTATGCCAGACAAAGGGAGAGGAGGTGATACAGGAGTTAGTTTTCTTATGTCTGCATTACTAGGGGTTATCAACTATCAACCTTGTGCTGGTTGATACTCCTGTGTCTGGCTATCCCACCGTTAGGGACAGTTGTGCTTTTAGCTGCTCAAAGCAGCTCCAGGCTAAGGATTGGGACCAATCATTTAACAAAATATTTAGCTTTCAAGGAAACAGATATTTTCAGATTGACTAAACAGAGTAACGGTTTGTTAAAGGGAAATTAAATCAAGTGATCACCTAACTGGAGACATTTATATGGCCCCCATCACTATAGTATCTGGGAGTCTCAGAGTCATTAAGGGATTTATCCTCACAGCACCCTTATGAAGTAGGTAAATCCTATTATCTCTTCATTACAGATGGACCATTGAGGCACAGAGAGATTAAGTGATTTGCTCAAGGCAACACAGGATGTCTGTGGAAGTGCAAGGAGATGAAAGTGGGTCTCACAAGTCACAGGATAACATTCTAACAGGACAGTGGGGTGGGAGGAGGTATTGTTTCATGATCTCTGTGTGTATATAATGTCTGCTGCAGTTTCCACGGTATGCATCCGATGAAGTGAGCTGTAGCTCATGAAAGCTCATGCTCAAATAAATTGGTTAGTCTCTAAGGTGCCACAAGTACTCCTTTTCTTTTTGCAAATACAGACTAACACGGCTGTTACTCTGAATTCTAACCACAAACCATCCTTCTCCCACTGTAACTTTGCATCCGCAGCTTGCTTCAGTAATATTTCAAATCTAATCCACTGCAATATATTAACTATTCAGTACTGAGTCTGACTTTTGTGTTATGCAAGATGGATTTATTAATAATCACATAAGTGGTTTGAGGCAATTAACAGGGCAATTAAGCTGAATTAAGGACCAGTAAAACATTCTGGACAGCTTTTTCTACTTTCAGATCACGTATTCTATATTTGTCAAAATGGTGCCAGTAGTGTGGCCTTTGCATATTGATAATAGTAGACTGTCATACACTCTCTCCTGCTCTCCCAAACATTGAGTGAAAAATCACACCATATGGTTCACTTTGCATTCTGTAAATAACAAAAGGAGAAAGCAAACTTCCATTGCTCATTCTCATTTCATAAAACCATACAGCACAACGCAATGCTGAAAACCTCATCTGAGGAGCAGTATCCCATTTTAAGTTTTGTGTTAATTTAAGACTAAGCTGTGCCTATCCCTGCACCGGTTTACAAGGGAAATTTACATGATGACTGGAACTTCTCCCCAGTATTTTAACCCTTATGCAGGAGCTAGGTAGAATCTTGGTCCTTGCTTGTCCAGCAACATTCTAGGAATGCATCTCCAGAACCAAGAATCAGATCCCCCCCCCCCTCACTATTGTATCATTGGCCTAGGTTAATATTTGGGTCTTTCTGTAGGCCAGTCAAGTGGGGACTGGAAATGCTTGTGTAATTAAATTAAACAGTTATTTTGTAATTCATCTCTGGACTTTTAAGGACAGATTTTTCAAAACACAGCACTAGTAAATGCAGCTACTCTGAGAGTGACTTATTGCACTTTGCTCTGCTACAACTGTTATTTCCAGATCACAGCTAGCTCTTTCCAGCTCAGGGAGCAAAAACCTGACCTTAGTCTTATCTGTGCATTTCCAGTAGAGCACCGAGGTGGCCTGCTGGTCCTTTTTTCTAATCATTATATTAGAAGTCAGTAAATGATTTCTACCACACAGCATCTGAGAAGACAGAGATTTATAATTCATCAAGCCATCCTTTGTGAAAATGAATAAAACATATGTATGCCACTATGCATTATAGATCCTTGAGTTCTCTTGTAAAAACAACAATCGTTGCCTTTGTAGTGGCCTATGCTATGATTCTAGATTGTGACCTTCCTATTTTCTACACTAAATTTAGGGTATTGGGCAATGTTTTTTTCAGCAATACATGTAAAGCAGAATCCCATTAAGTGCACAATCCTTTCTCCATTGTTTAGAGAACATATACCAAATGGAAAATATAATATGGTATGCAGAAACACATTACAAA